CTGCGCCAGATAGTCGTTCGCGGCGAGCTCCCGAGGCCTGGGGCGCGAACTCGTGAGGGGGCGGACACGGGGGGGCCGCGAGGGCTGCAGGAGAGGGGCCTCTCAGGGCACCTCAAGGGGCCCTTTTGGGGCGCCAGTGCAGGCCCCAGGGAGCAGGAGGGGGCCTGCAGAGCCTGAGAAAGGCCCCCGTCTTCCCCCCCTCTTGATCCAGAAGAAAAAAAAACAGACTCTGTGAACATAAACTCGTTTGGCGCTCCGCGTGGATTCTTGAATCTGCGCTGGAACCCCCCTCCCCGGCGCGTGGAGCGCGCCAGGCGCGGCGCCAGAGGCGCCGCCGAGGGGGGGGGGGGCAGCGCGAATCCAAGAACTCCGCGCAGAGCGCCAAAAGTTCAGTTGATGGCGTTTTTCTTCTTCGATTATCGTCCCCCTCATTCGCCCAGACCGACGACGTCGTGATTTGTCACGGCGCGACCTGCAAAAGTCTGGGCCCACTCCCTGGGACCTGTTTTTTCCTCCTCGGTCGTTTGTTGACGGCCCCAGGGCCCAGCGAGGGCCCACAGAGGCCGAAGATAGCGAAAACCCCCCCGTCGCAAGGTTTGCCACAGCGCGAGGGTGTCGACTGGGCATCGCCCCCCCCCTCCCCCATTCATTCGCCAGCTACGCGCAAGAGTGACCCTGCGTAAGAGTGACCTTTGGTGCGTGGCTCATTGGGGGCCGCGGGGGGACCAAACTTAAGCGCGCAAGACGCTTTTATCGCATCGCGCTCGGCCATCGGGGGACCCCGTTGGGCCCACACCAAAGGTCACTCTTACGTGTAGCCGAGACTGGGCACCGCCCCCCCCCCCCCCATTCATTCGCGCCCAGGAGGCCGTGCCGTCCAGGATCGCCGGGCTCAGCTTGCAGACGAAGCCCAGCCCCCGCAGCAGTGCGTCCGCCTCGGCGTGGCGGCCGCCCTGCGAGAGCAGCAGGGCGAGCTCGTAGGCCGCCTCTACTGGGACGGCCCACGGCACGGTCCTCCACTCCTCCCCTCCTCCTCCCTCCTCCCTCCTCCACCTCCTCCTCCTCCCCTCCTCCCCTCCTGCTCCTCCTCCTCCTCCTCCTCCTCCTCCTCCTCCTCCTCCTCCTCCTCCCCCCCATGTTCCTCCTCCTCCCCCTCCCCCTACTCCCCCTCCTCCTCAATTCCTTGGCATCATCAATAACTTCTCCCTGTCGCACCCCGAGGCCAGTTTTCAGGGCGGGCCGCGCGTTTCGCTTGAGACGTCCTCACCACTTCTGACGCTGAAGCTAAAACAATGGCAACAGCTGTGCAGATGGAGGGCAGGTGGTCTTCAAACTGTGTCTCTCGCCTCAGCGACGCGCACATTCTTTTTGAACATTAACAAAAGTTTCACGCATTGAGGGCGGGTCGTTTTCGAAATGTGGCTCTCGTCTCAGCGCCGCGCACAATCGGTTTAAGAGTTCGCGCAACATTTACGGTTTGAGGGCGGGTCGTGTTCAAAATGTGGCTCGCTTTGGCGCCGCGCACATTCGTTTTAAACATTTGCAAGTCTCGGATTGAGGGCGTTTTTTTTCACATGTGACTCTTGCCTTAGCGCCGCGCACATTCGTTTCGAACATTTGCAAGAGTTTCACGACTCGGGGGCGGGCAGTTTTCAAACTGTGGTGTTCGGTTTCGCGCCGCGCGCATTCGTCTGGAATATTTCCAGGAGCTTCTCGGTTTGACGGCGGTTCGTTTTCAAAATTTGGCTCTCGCATTAGCGCCGCGCACATTATTTAGGAACATTCGCAAAAAATCACGGATTCCCATTATCAGCGTACCGGAAATTACACTTTGGGGGGATTCGGGATTATGCGGGTGCAACAGTTATGTTGACTCGCGGTGTCGAAATCCGGATACTTGCATTCTGGCACGATTGCAGGTCGTCAGGTCGCAGCAGTCAGGTGGATCCGTGGCGTGGAAATCCCGGGATAAATGTTCTCGCATGCTTCAAGTCGTCCAATCGGTTTTTCCAACGAAGCAGTTCCTTCAATGGAAAATGACCGCTGCAGGGGCCTATGAAGAGGGAGCTTGGAGGGAGGGTTCATTCCAACATCGTTGATGACCCTTGGGTTAACACTGGTCCTCCTCCTCCTCTCCGCGTTCTCTTCCTCCTCCTCCCCCTCCCCATCGTCCCCCTCCTCCTCCTCCTCCTTCTCTCCACCTTTTCCTCCTCCACCGTCCCCGCCCCTCCTCCTCCTCCTCCTCCTGTGCCTCCCTCCTCCTGCCTGACTTACTACGCCCCCGCCCCTTCCTGACGACCGCTTGCGAACGCCAACTGGCAAACGCCAACTGTGTCTGGGGCCGTGTAGCAAACGCCAGTTGTCGGGTCCGGGTGGTGTTTTCCCCCTTGAGATAAGGCCCTCTCAGCAGGCGGCGCGGCTTCTCGGAGGCTCTCGCGCCCCCTGAAAAGTGCTCTTTCGTCTTCGGGGAACGCCCAGAAGGCTTCTCGAGAGGCCTTGGGTCTTCTGAGCCTTCTGAGAAGACCCGCCCCTTTTCACGTCCCCCCCTCGCTCGCCGCCGAGCTTGCCCCCGCCGCATCTGGACTACGTGCCAGACCACCCCAGTCCAACCCGAGAACCCGAACATTGGGTTGGGCTGGGTACGGGTTCCAGAAACGCTCGTTTTTTACCGTTCCTGACACCTCCCCCATACCCACTGGGAATGGAGGGCAATCGTGGGGCATTCGGGTTGGGTTGGGGTGGTTTGGTGGGTGGTATCTTTGACAAACCTGGCGGAGGTAGGTGGACGAGGACCCAGAGGTAGGAGGCAACTCCTGGGACGTCTCCGTACGTTTTTTTTTTTTTTTTTTTTTTTTTTTTTTTTTTTTTTTTTTTTTTTTTTTTTTTTTTTTTTTTTTTTTTTTTTTTTTTGTTTTTTTTTTTTTTTTTTTTTTTTTTTTTAAATATAAAAAAAAGCACCAAAACAAAACAAACAAACAAAAACTGCCCGATTGCGGGGCCATGCCGCCAGGTCAGCCCACGCAACAACCAGCTTCAACGAGATACCCCCCGCAGAGGGGGCCCCCCTCCGCGGGGGGGGAAGGCCCTCCGCTGGGGGAGCGGAGCCTCTGCGAGCGGAGGCACACCGGCCCCCTTCCCGCGGGGGAGGCCCTCCGGCCGGGGGGCGCCCTCGGCGCTGCTGGGAGAGGAGGGGCGGGGGGAGGACGAGGGCAAGGATGAGGTTGATGAGGAGGAGGATGAGGACAATAATGCTGATGAGGAAGAGGAGGGAGGAGGAGGAGGAGGAGGAGGAGGAGGAGGAGGGGAGGAGGAGGAGGAGGAGGGAGGGAGGAGGAGGAGGGGGGATGAGGAGGCGGAGCAGGAAGAGTAGGCGGAGCAGAGGAGGAGAGCAGGAGGAATGAGGAGGAGGATAGGGAGAAGGGGAGCCGGAGGAGGAGGGGAATGAGAGGGGATGATGAGGAAGAGGACAAGGGGGGGGAGGAGTGGGAGGAGGGAGAGGAGGAGGCTTACGAGCTTTACGAGCCACGGACAGGAGGGGAGGATGAGAGGGGGGAGAGGAGGATGAGGAGGAGGAGTTGAGGAGTGTGGGGAGGAGAAGGAAGAGGAGGAGGAGGAGGCAAAGGAGGAGGGGAGGACTGGCGGAGGAGAAGTATGCGGAGGGGCGGGAGGAGGGAACTACAGCCTACGACAAAAGGACGCCACCAGCAGTTTGCCCCACGGCGCCCTCGCTGAGAGGAGGCGGAGGAAAGGAGGAGGAGGGGGAGGACGAGAGAAGGAGGAAGTGAGGAGGAGGGAGAGGCGGAGGAAAGTTTTGGAGGACGGGGCGGGAGGAGGAGGCGAAGGGGGGAGAGGAGGTGGAGGAGGATAGTAGGCGAGGGGGCGGGAGGAGGGAGCTACGCGCCACGACCAACGGACGCACCAGCAGTTGCCCCCACCTGCGCCTCGCTGGGAGGAAGAGGAAGAGGAGGAGGCGGGGGAGGCCGAGGAAAGGGAGGATGAGGAGGAGCATGAGGGAGGAGGAGGAGGAGTGTAGGAGGAGGGAGGAGGATGAGGAGTAGGAGTAGCAGGAGCAGGAGGAGGAGGAGTGAGGGGGAGGAGGAGGAGGTGGAAGGGGGGAAGGAGGAGGAGGAAGGAGGGCGGAGTGGGGGGGGGGGGAGGGGGAAGTGAGGGAGGGGGGAGGACGAGGGAGGATGCGGCGGAGGAGGAGGGAGGGAGGGAGGAAGGGGGGGAGGAGGGGGAGGGGAGGGCGGGGACAAACCTTGACCCTCGGAGTGGTTCGGGCCGCCCGAGGCCGCCGCTCGCGCGTGGGGGCCCTCGGCGCCGCCCGCGCCGCGCCTCTCCGCGGGGCGGCACGCCCGGCGGAGGAGGGCCTCGGCCCGTGCGGGGTCGCACGTGGCGGCGGCCCTCGCCACGAGGCGCGCGGCCGACAGCGCCGGCATCGCCGCGGCGCCGAAGCCCAAAGAGGGGCCTCTAACCTTGAGCCTCCTCCTCCTCCTCTTCGTCATCGTCGTCGTCCTCCTCCTCCTCCTCCTCCTCCTCCTGCCTCCTCCTCCTCCGCCTCGTCGTCGTCGTCGTCGTCGTCGTCGTCGGTGTCATCGTCGTCGTCGTGCTGCAGGCGAGGGGCGGCACCGCGGGTGCTCTCCCTGCCCGTCGGCCGAACGTGGGCTCGGGCAGCTGCTCGTCGGCGAAAGGGCCCCCCCCTCCTGCCGAAGGGCACGCCAGGCCATTGGCCCTTCCGCTCCTCATCCTCCTCCTCCTCCTCCGCCCTCCTCCCTCCTCCCTCCTCCCTCCTCCCTCCTCCCTCCTCCCTCCTCCCTCCTCCTCCTCCTCCCTCCTCCCTCCTCCCTCCCTCCTCCTCCTCCTCCCTCCTCCCTCCTCCCTCCTCCCTCCTCCCTCCTCCTCCGCCTCCTGCTCCTCCTCCTCCTCCATCCTCCCTCCTCCCCTCCTCCCTCCTCCCTCCTCCCTCCTCTCCTCCTCCTCCTCCTCCTCCTCCTCCTCTCTCCTCCTCCTCCTCCGCTTCTCCTCCCTCTTCCTCCTCCTCCTCCTCCTCCTCCTCCTCCTCCTTCCCCGCCCCCTGCCCCTGCCCCCGCGCAGGCGCTGCGCCAACCGTGGCTCCGCCACCCGCAGGCATGCCGCCCCTCCTTTCGACACGATCGATCTGGGTGTCATTGGATTCGGCAATACTTCCATTGGATACGAGACCGATGTTGCATCACAGCAGCAATTCGGCCCCTGACTTTCGTCCTGGGTTCAGTTTAGTGAAGTGATGAATTTCGGGGTCCTTACGTGGGAAAAAAAACATCACTTCACTAATCTGGGGCCCCTGGGGCCTCAGTGGGCCCTGGGGCCCAAAATTAGTGAAGTGATGGTTTTCGGGCCTCGGATTGGACCCCCGAAATGGGCACGGCAAGAATAGGTACAGTGCCCAACAGCGGATCCTGTTCATGCTTGTGCATCGCATGGCATGTCCGACGCCAAGCACTTGGACAATTTGGAGAAGCCTCGGCGTTTGGACCCGTCAGTCAATGATGCTGGGACGTGGACCGTCTTGGACGCCCTTCGACCTCGACGGCGAGCCCGGAGGGGAAGTGAGAAGGAGAGAGCCCTCCCCGGGAGGCTTGGAAGTCCCCCGGCCGTCTGAGAAATGTTCGAAACCTTCCCCGATAAGCACGAACGAGATGGGTACGGAAAGAATAAATACAGTGCCCAACAGCGGATCCTGTTCATCTTGCACAAGGCTCGCTGTCCACGCCGCCCGCGGCCTGTGGCCATTCCCGACAGAAGGCCGCCTGCCCAACCGCGGCCTTTTTTGGTTTGGGACAACATTTGCTGTTGGGCATTGTACCCGTTCTTTCCGTACAGTCGAGGCGTTGACCCAAGGAACCCTAAATAAGGAACGAGGCCCCTTTCTCCATAAGTAAAACTTAGATTTCCCTTCGAAAACCTAAGGAAAATCTTAGGCAAGCTATGAAACAATAAAGGAACACGGAGCCCCTCCCCGACGAAAAGGGTTCCTTCTTCAGGGCCCCGACTATATCCTGCAGGGCCACGGTGCATCTGACCAACTGACGTCAAATCATGTTCTAGACTACGGTCACCTTTCGCCTTATCGACCTGGCCTCACATACTACCACGCTGCGAGCGGCTGCTGGGTGAGCCAGGAACTGGTACCGCGTCAAGTGCATTATGCTGGACTTGCGGAACTGACAACCCGACTGATTCACGTGCCTCGGCTCCAACTGCCAACTGCATTTGACTCCTTCAGTTCATGGTCGCGTGCGGAACACATCTGGAAACAACGTGCGCGCGTCCCTTGAGAAGCAGCTCATCTGCGCAGCACCGTTCTCATCCTTCCCCGCATCCTCCTTCTCCTCTTCCGCCCCCCTCCCCTCCTCTCCCCCCCGACCTCCTCCATCTCCTTCTCCACCTGCTTCGTCGTCCTCATCTTCACTCGCCTTGTCCTCCCTCCTACACCAGCTTCCTGCTCGTCATCCTCGTCACGTCCTCCTGCCAGTCCTCCTCGTCCTGATAGGGTTCCTGTTTATGTCCATCCCCCTTCACAATACTGATAATATTTTGATTCGCATCATTTCTCGTCACATTATTCGTAGGTGTCTTCTTGATAGTATGATTATCCTGATTGGTCGTATTATTACTATTCCTCTCCTTGTTAGTATTACTCTTCGTATGTTTCGCACGAGTATCATTATTACGGTTAGTAGCAACAATATTATTGTTATGATTCGTCTCGTTCCCCCTCCCCTGTCGTCCTCATGGCCCCCCTCTTTCACTCCTCCTTCTCCGCCATACTGAAGCGACAACTGGCCAGGCCTGTCGTTGGCAAGAGACTGGCGAACCAGTCAACTGGGGCACTGATCCTCTCGGGGATGGACAGACCTCCCTTTAGTAAAACGTGGTTTAGTGAAAACGACTTCTTGCCCAAACCTGGCGGGCGCAAGCCTGGAAAATAACGGCCGCGGCGCCCTCTCGAGAACCGAAAACGGACAATTCACTAATCGACGTGTCACTGTTGCGGGTTCTGTCCACCCCCGATCCTCCCGGACAGGGTCTGCACCACTGCCTTGGCCCACGCTCCCCTATGGAGTGGTGGCCCCACGCTGCCTCCTCCTCCTTGTCCTCGTCCTCGTCCTGTACTCCTCCTCCTCCACTGCGTCCTCCTCCTCCTCCTCCTCCTCCTCCTCCTCCTCCTCCTCCTCCTCCTCCTCCTCTTCATCCTCCTCCCCCTCATTCTCCTTCTCCTCCCTCCTCCCTCCTCCCTCCTCCCTCCTCCTCCGCCTCCTCCACCTTCTTCTCTGCGTCCTCCTCCTCCTCCTCCTCCTCCTCCTGCTCCTCCTCTTCCTCCTCCTCCCCCTCTTCCCTCGCGGGACCGAGGGCACCGCATGGGACGCGCAGGGACATACTAGTAGTAGATGTCGTCCTTGGAGGCGCGCGTGCGACCCATCTTGTAGTGCATCGTCTCCCGGGCGGTGTGGCCGGAGA